GTTAAATTCATCTTCGTCCACTTTTCCACTTCGGGGTCGGTCAGCTGTCGTAAGGCAAAAGGCAGCGTACACATTGGACAGGTCGCCACTATCACAGAGCTAACACACACAGTGAGCCGAACACACTCTCGTCCAGTTTAGAATTCCCAATTAAAGTATAAACCCATGAGAGAAAAAGTCTGTAGAAATAACTACAGTGATTTTGGTTGCTTTATTTTTTTCTCCCTGAAGGCCAAAATATGCCGGTCCTAACTCAACGGTCTCATTTATCTAGGACAAGGATTACACTAGCTCGTGACACTGGTTACTAAATTTGAGATACAGGACTTCAACCTTTAGGCCAGGGGAAGTCCTGCAGTGGCAAAAAGCTCAGAACTGAACTGGGTGGAGGTTAGGAATGATGAAATGTTAGGCACTGGACAAGAAAAAAGATGTCCAGAAAGGTCAAAGATGGAATTCTATGCTGTGAAACACGAATGAACTAAGGAAAATAGCTTTTTAAGTATCTTTGTATTTTAGCTCTAATTAAGAAAATTTGTTCTGTTAAAGTAAAAATTACAAAACAAAAAAAGCTGAACTGGAAATAAAACATGTAATTGCTTATATAGAAACTTTTTGCAGCAAACATTTCAATGTTTTACGTCACCAGGTAAGGTTGAGGAAAGCTTCAGATGATTACATCAGCTACTTTTAGTACATAAACTTCCCAACTTGCATTTGTTTGACATATGACGAACAATGAGTCAAATTAATAAAAATAATGTAATAATAAAAATAAAAAAAACAATGGTGCCTATAAATAACATTTATTATGAAGATGAATGACTCTCCAATCTTCAAAGTTCAGAAGAATAAAGAAAAGATATATAATATTGAAAACATTAAAATGTATTTTGTCTTGATTAGCATCGATTCACTTCTAGCTACAGAAACTTTTATTCATTTTGATTGAAGTTTTGAGCAAAAAAAAGCCAAAAACAATAAAAACACAGAAATATTAAAGTGCATCAAAAACTTTTATTTTTCATGAGTTTGAGGTATAAAGAATAGAAACTTAAATGTACTTAAAAAATGAAGTATCTTTAAAAGTCTTCATGTCATAGTAGAAAAATCCAGTTTTTACAGCATCAGAACAAATTGCACAATCATTTCAGAATAATTCAAACACAACATGATTCCTTCTTATGACACGAGTGTGAAAAACACAGAGATGTCTTCAAAGTTTGCTTTTTGTTTTGGTCAGAACCCAACGGGCTGGGTTTACAGTCATTTGGTGCACCATACAGTTCGAGATGACGAAACCAGTGCAGTGTCTTTGTGTTAAAACTCCAACCAAACAGTGAGTGTCAAGAAGCTGGAATGACCTTTGGTGCAGTGAAAGCCATGAAGCAGCTTGCTTTAGAGGTTTATGTGTCTGCTCAGTGAACCCGGCTGTCGTCACACAGATGGAAACCTCCATCCACTGGGCTAACAAACAATGGTAATCCGGGCAGGCCACCCTGCTTGATACAGAAGTTTTAAGTTCATTGAAGAACAGCAGCGGGAAGGAAAAGACGAGATATGGTCAAGTTGAAAGAACAGTGACAGCAGGAAAAGCGGTTAGGAAAAAGGCGACAGGCCCGATAACCTGAACGCACCAACAACTGTCGAGTGAGGGAAATGAAATCTTCATCTCGGGGCCGGAGATGGCGAGGCTGTGAAAGAACGTGAAGTGTTAAGCGAATGAGTTAAGGCAGTATCGTGGTTTAAGCTGGTCAATGGCTCCTCTTACTGGCACGCTGTTAAAATAAAGTAAAAGTATGCGTTAGTTACAGATGTCTCTGTTGTACTCGCACCTGAGATGGCTGGCGGTCACGTCAGGTGAATCAAATCTCAACTGCACCATCGTGCCACCAAGTGTGATCAAACAAAGAGCACCACAAGAGCAAGTGTGGGACCACACCAGAGGTGTTTCATGCTTTTACTCAACCTCTTAGTTAATGACTGAATCAGTCACAGGTCATTTAACACTTTTTTTTTTTTAGTTTTCCTGTTAAAAGGCAGTTTTTGCCCTCCACTGTCACCAAGTGCTCGCTCATAGGGGGTCGTCTGATTGTTGGGCTTTTCTCTGCATCGCTGTAGGGTCTTTACCTTAGAATATAAAGCGCCTTAAGCAAACTGTTGTAGTGAATTGGAAGTCTACAAATAAAACTGAACTGAAATTAACTGTAAAAAATAAAAAAGATCCTTGAAGAATTCCCTGCTCAGAAAACAGGTTGATTATTTTTCTAGCAGAACAACAAAGGCTTTGAGAAACTGGGTGAGGTTATATGATGTTAAATGACCTGATAGGTTTCTGGGAAAAGGCCTCAGATGCTTACATTAGCAATATAAACAGGGGATACTTTTAGCAGATTAATATAAACAGCCTGCTTAATTTCAGGTCACTCGCAAATGCACTTTGTTGATTGACTAAAACATGTTAAACCTTTGGTATGGCCTCTTAAATGTGCTTTTAAAAAATGGATTTGTCACTCTGCTCCATGGTAGAGGATTTGATCTGAAGAAAAAGACAGAATTCAATGAGTAATTCAGCGACTCTGCACCTTAAATGTACCTGTTAAAAAAAGTTACAAGTTAGTGTTGTGCAAAACTCAACCTTTGACCCAAATATGCGAAATATTCTCACTATAATCATCAGCAGCCTTTATGGAGGTTTCTTATGCAAGCATAAGAAAGCTGCATTCACATCTGACAGGCAAGCCCTTCTATGTTAAATACCTACTACAACCATATGAGGTGGCATGTTTGGAAAAACATGCTGTAACTTAAATAAGCCTTTTTTCCCCCCAATTAAAATTAATCACTTTTAAAAATTCACAGTACACGTCTGTATGAAATTCTTCACATTAAGGTACAGATAAGATTCAATATGAATCTGTTCTGGTATTAAAAGACCTGACGTCTTATAACAATATCACTACGACCTGGCATTGCCGTTACTCTTTCAAATCCACAGGATTTAGCGTAGCACTAAAACTCGAGCGAGTAACCCACAACATGAAAGACAATAAATACATAACCGTCAATACACAGAAAAAGCTCAAAAATGTCAAACAAAAAAAGAATAAAACATAAATAAACCAGATTTCTGCAACATACAAAAAAAATAAATAAAACAATAAATAATTTTAAAAAAACGCCACAACTTCACTGTTTATATGAAGAAGAGGAAATTTGTGGGATCGAATACTTTGGGTACTTGCTGAGAATGTACTGGTGGCTTATTTTAAACCTTTATGGATTATTAGTAACTTCAAGTAACATAAGGGAAATACCACTAAATTTGTGATGTGATTCAACACATGCAGACAGGACAGAGAAGCCAATCAGTACACATTTCTCAAACCACAAAATCAGGGAGGTTAATCTGTAGCGCCACCTAGAGGCACAGCTGGGAACAGACTTTCAGACAGATTAAAAGAATAAAATAAAAGTGGTGACCTTTTTTTTTTTGGCATAAAACTCGTACCTTTTCCCTACCAGCCGAGTAGCAATGCTTCTCATTTTATGGAGCTGCACATTCAGATGACCTCAATGCTAAATTTTCAGGCCAAAATTTCTCATTTAAGGAAATAAATTCAGTGATATTCCCCTTCAACTTTGAGGTAGTATCTCTTGCCATAATACTGCTCATTTTTTGTTTTGTTTTTTTGCGTCTATAAACCTACAAAATCAAAAATGACTTAAAAAAGTGGTTCATCCCAAGAAAATACGCACGTTTCCAAACGCATTTACGTCATATGTTGCATAGTTAAAACCCCCAAACTTACAGAATACGTTAAAAAGTACAAAGGAGTAGAAAGTGTGGCACAGAAGATGAAAACTACGTTATCATAAAGGCACATAACACATGGACATCACACACAACCACACGTCTTTGGGCTAAAGTTCAAGTGGCTTCACATACCTGCATGTTCACGGTATATTGGCCATATTTTTATTTACACTTTTGTTTTTGGTTATTTGTTCGTTTTTTCTTTTCACCTTAAACTTTTTGTCAAATGTATTGTTTAACACAAATGTGGTCCAGTCATTCCTCGTTTGAAAATACAAACAAAATACTTGTAAAAATGACATATCTGGACACGTCAGCATATCCTTTACACATAAAAGTTGTTTTTCCTGATACAACGTGAGTGAACTCAAAAAAATTTAACGAGTTAAATATCGAGTGAAAGCCTGACTTATGCACATGATCACTACGCGGGTAATGGTTGCCCCCTCTCGTTGTTCTGTCTCGTCCCTTTGAATAATGTATATAAAACAATTTCAGTCTTCGATGTGAAAAAACGTCTGCATTTAAACTTTTAACACATTTTTACAACTACAATACACAAACAGTTTTGTGATGAGGAGAAAAAAATCTGAAGAACAAAAAAAATTTAAAATGTGACGAGCTAGTAAGTGATGCCTTGGAAAAAAATGTGTAAAACTGACAAAAGAGAAATTAGTGTATTTAGAAAATGTATCTCTCTACAGTCTCCAGGGCAAATTATTAAGGTGAATTTTGTTTATATTTCCTCCTCTTTTATCCAATCTGACCGCTCTGCGTGAAGGAAAAACAGTCTGCTGTGCAGCTTACTGATCAATAAGCTGATAGTCACTCAAATTTGGGTAAATATTTCCAAACTTATTCCAATTCCAGAGGAGAGTAAGGAATGTATCCTCGAGGAACTTCACAGAAATGTCTGTTTATCCTGCAGAGAACTGGAAACAGTTCTTTTCCATCTACCAACAATGTCAAATACCCTGCCAAGCTCATTAAAAAGAAAGAAAGAAAACTCAAAAAACATGTCTACATACTCACGGCCCCAAAGCACACTCGGCACAACCTAAATCTAACTACTACATAATCAGACATCCAACTAAAATGCAGGTCAAACAAGGCATGAAAGGTTCATCCACAATGTTTTCTAGTTAACAGTTAAAAGCTGAGTAATAGCCAACTAACTTAAACGAGAGAGAGAGAGAGATAGAAAGGACTTAGTAAGCAACAATAAAACTGAAAAACAGGAGAAATCAACTCATCAGTGCCCACATTTACAATTCTTTAAACCACAGGGAATTTAGCAAAAAAATAATCACAGCCTATCCCAGCTGGGTTTTGGTCACTGCTATGACATCTTGAATCATCACAACCAGGACACCTCTCCGCCTATATGCAGGAACCCCACTAGGTAGTGCCATAGACCAAAAAACAGACTTCACAGCTACCCGAATGCAGGGCTACGAGAGAAAGACTGAAACACCAATAGTGATAAAATACTGCCATCTACAGACAGGGGAGACCCACTACATGAACAGGCTGACCGCATCCCACCACAACAAGTCCCCCTATATGAGCACCACACCACTAATAACATAAAAAATTCTATTAAGTGGTCACGTTAGAAGCACAGCGTTCAAGTGTCATTTGTCACGAAGGATTTCACTAAAGAGGGGAGCAACCATTATCCCATGATGAGCTCTACTTATAGTGTCCATGTCAGATGCAAAATAAACATTAATCACAAACTACATTGAAATAGCAGAAGGTATCCAGTATCTCTCCAGTGCCATTTTCACAACTGCAGACACTTGGTAGAACAAGTCAAACACAGGCATGCTCTCAGCTAAATGTCTTTGTGTTCACTGTCCCAGCTCGATGGGAGACGACTTGATGAATGATGTGCAGAGGCGTTGAATGTTAGTGACCCCCAAAAGAAATGGAGAAGTATCTGTAGACCAGGTTGGAGCTGTGCAGGAGACCCTCCGGCGTTGGGAGAGAGCGACTTCTTGCAAAAGGACCCGCTGGCTTTATAACGCTCCTCATCCGTCAATCAGCGACACATCAATGTGGGACAAATCAATCATGTGCCTGTGTGATAATTGTGATAACAATGTTTGAGCCACTGTGGATGGAGATACCTATGACACTGTACAGCAGCTAAACTGGAAAATATAAAAAGGTCTACTGGAGTATGTCTGACATGTTTACAAAGATAAAAGGAAGGAGCTGTGTTCAGTACCTGTGGAAGCTCATTTGGAAACTTGCTGCATGTTGGGGACTGGAAAATGTAGCAAATGCTTTCCTCTGCTGGGGCACCATTTTGAAAGTCTGCAAGTGGATAAAAATGGGGGGGAAAGGCCCAACTAAATAGAAGTGCATACTCCTTTCCTCCGCAAGGGGGAGTGGGGGTGGTAACAAGAAAGGGAATAATCAATTGGATCTTCAAAGCTAACCTACCGAATCACTACAACAGAGGGCGCTGTGGGGTTGCAGATAAGAAACGCCATTGTAGTCACTGGTGGGTGCCACTAAATATGTGGTTTCTAAGTTTTCAGTGTGAAGTAGGGCGTCAAGATGACCAAAGTGATCGGCAATATCTCGCCAATTCTTACCTAATTTGATAATTTAATCTTTTAGATAAATAACATAACAGATTATTCAAAACGGAATCTACCTCGCTACAGTTTCATGTCACATCACATATAAGCAACACTTGCAAACGCAGATGTGTCTGGGTGTGCACGGAGATGTGCACGCAAACACACGCTCGGACTTCTGCACACTTTAAAATTAATGTGTGTATGCAGCATCGTCATACGAGGGGGGATTTTTCAATTTGGAGAATAATCTGACTAAACGTGCAGAGATACTCATTGAGCTCATTTCTTTTATTAATCTTGGGGGGGCGGG